ACTTACCTATGCTGTAAAAACTAGCAGTTTAGATACAATTATACTGAGGAAAGTATATTTTATTGCTATTGTCTTCTTTGGCCTTACTATAACTGTTTAGTGAGTATAATTCTAGTTAAATGCACTCTGACATTTGCGTTTGTAATATGCCTCTAATGTATGTATAATTTATATAATATAAATATACATACTTTTTTAGGCCTTACAATCACTTTTCAAAGTCCCACATCACCTTGGGGTAATTTGTGGTCTTCTTGCAGGTACTACTTCTTTTTTTCTTTCTTTCTTTCAGACCAGAATTTGGAAGTTTTCCCAGATTTTGAGATTCCTGCAAATAGTCAAGTGGATGTAATAGTTGACAATGAAGATTTTGCATCAAATGATGCCGCTGCAGTAAGGAAAGGAGACTTTGGGAAAGGCCCTCTGCTAATACACACAGATAGGATAAATGGGAATCCCTCCTGCATATACAATGGTACTGAAGGTGCTGCTTATACAACTAAGGGTTTAAACCAGCACTCCACATCTCAGGTATGTACAGTGAACAAAGAAGGCCAAAGGAAACCTGAAAATATTTTTGTTCCAAGAAAGGAAACCACTTCTGCCTCAGAGCCAGGCAATACAGAATGCACATCAGAAGACTTTAAAACACCCGAGGAAGTTTTGTTAAAAGACAATAGATTTGCAGCGGATGTTAGCTATGGAGATACGAAACCTAGCAATAAGGATTCCCACAAAAGTGAGCCCGTGTTAATTGTCAGTGCTCAGTATGAGTGTGGAGCATGTGGAACTGATGGCTTGGAAGACAGGACTGAAATACATAAAATAGATGAATCTAGTCATCCCGAGAATAATTTCACTTCATCTGAGCTTGCACTAAATGAATTAACCAATCTTGAAAAAACAGGAGATCCAGACACCAAGGCTCTGCTCCCTGTTTTAAAAGCTTTGCCCACACACGGCTTGGAAGTGAAATTGTTCACAAAGGAGCAACGAAGTGAGGAGTGTGAGGAATTTACCCTGATGTCAGGGGTTATAAAAAGATCCTCCTCTATAATATCCGATTCAGGCATTGAAAGCGAACCAAGTTCAGTGGCGTGGTCTGATGCTCGTAGCCGGGCACGGGAGCTGCCCAGCGATCGAGAGATCCTGCACCACTTGGTACGAAGGCACGCCATCCACCGAAATTCCCTGGAGGGTGGCCACACAGAAAGCAATACCAGCTTGCCCAGTGGGATCCAAGCGTCACTCACATCCATCAGCTCTTTGCCCTTTGAGGAAGAGGAGAGGGAAGTGGAGCTTACCAAACTGACGAAATCTGTCTCAGCTCCTCAGATCAGTAGCCCAGAAGAGCCTGCAGAGGAGGTGGATATAACCAAACACAGCGAAGCAACCTCAGGAGATTCAGGAGGAAACTTAAAAAGTTGCACGGAAGCAGAGGGTAGAGATGGAAAATTAATTGTGGACTTTTCTGAGTGTCAAATCATCACTGAAAGTGGAGAACTAGAACCAAGAGGACATCCCAAACCCTCCGTCAAACGCAGTAGCAGTAACACTGAGTTACAAGGGGAGGAGGAGAAGGAAGGTTTTCCAGAGACTTACCGTAGTTTGGAAAATGCAAGACCACCCATTTGTCCAAAGCAGCTCCGAGATAATGTCTCTGAGTGCCAGTCACTGGAGAGCAATGATGAGCATAGCTTAAAAACACCAAGGGCTTGTAATTACTTGGACAAAAATATAGATAAGTTTGATACATGCATTGAGGATCCAAAGGATAAACTTAAGCCGGACAGTTTAAAAATACAACAAGGCTTTTACTCCACTAGCAGGATTTCAGGAGAGGAGAGTTTCTCACAAAGCATAAAGCTGGTACCAGATTTTTGCTATCCTGTTCCAGCTCCTTCAGAGACCTCAACTGAATTTGGCTCAATGCAAGGAGAGTGTGGTAGCTCTCTTGCTGATGAGAGCCCAGCAGTGTATGCAGAAATGCAGGGGTTGCAAGAAATTGAGCTCAATGACTCACCTGCCTCAGCAGACCCTGCTGCAGGATCCTACCAGGCTGAATATCCTCAGGAACCCAACAGCCAAGAGCATAAACTTGTAGCTAATGGCACTGGGTTTCATTTGGCGACGACGGAGGGAGTAGCCCTGGAAAGCAGAAAGGCTGCTGATGTAGTTAACCTGTCCGTCTCTTGCACAGCCACGTGTCTTCCCTTTTCTTCTGTGCTCAAAGAGACTCCTGCTATGGTCGGCTTCTCTGCAAAGCAGGCTGCGTTCCCCATCACACGCCAGCCTCTGGGCTCTTTCGGAGTTGTCTCTTCTAATTCGAATGAGATGGATGAAGAGACCAATGAAAGGATGTTGAAGTAAGAATGTCTAATTACTTTCTTCATTAGTGTTACTGTAATGCCAAGAGACCCTGACGAAGTTCAGGGCCCTAACACAGTAAGCATACTGTAAGCTTGAATTCAGAGACAGTTGCTGCCTGAGGAATTACAGCATAAATAATCCAAATAGACAAATGGTTTATATAGAATAAATAATCTAAATAGACAGGAAGGATGGAAACACCGAGAGACCGAGATTGTTAAAGACATTAGGTCCTTAATCCTCATGAAAAACAGTGGGATTTAGGTGTCTAAATAATCGTTAAGATCTGGCCCTTCATGAAGTCAAGGTTATCCAGACTTGAGTATTGATCCCAGTCAGTTCACTATGGCAGTGCCATAGCTTGTTTTTCTCTTCTGCTTAAATAATTGCACTCATTAGCTAAACATGAAACAGGAGCACAGATTGGCTGGTAGGGTCTCAGCTTCTCAGCTTCAGCTTCTCAAACTGGGAAAATGGGAGAATTGTCATCCTGGGTAGCTGGAGAATAGGCTTTTTTTTTTTTTTGCTTCATTACCCATGGCAAAAGTGTCACATCATGGCCTTGATGTCACAGTGGCCCATTTCACAGACTGACACACTAGCACATGTATACTTCTGTTATATTTTGGTGTCTCTGCTCTACTGAGGGAAAACAGTAGCATGTGAATTTCTTAACCCATTCAATGCTGCCCAAAATGTTGGCTTTCTGCATGTGCATTCATTTGCAACCCAAGGCTTTATTTTTATTTTTTTGAAAGCATCTTGAGGTTCGTTTTACAGACTCTACTGTAAGTCCTGCTTAATCTAAGCACAAAATTTGTTCCTTCTTTGTGAAGCAAAATATTTAAGCATGTATTCATGCACATGAATCTAGGGCTTCCAGGTCCATGGCCCAAACACTAGATTTTTCATTCTTGTGTCCTTTTAAAGTCAGGAGGGCTGATGTAAGTAATTGCTCATCATTATATCAAGTGGCCTTAAGCTATCCCCAAGCTTTAAAGGTTTGTATCTCCTAACCTGGTCCATCCCAGTTTTCTACCTAATTCTACACTTATGTTGTGGTTATTAATTCCTAAAAGCTCTGGATAAGTTTTGCTAAGTCAAAAAGCCACTGAAGGGTTTGGTATCTTCAGCCAGCAGAATGTTTCAGGATTCGTGTGTCAAATTTTAGGCCTTGAGTAGGAAAGGGGCTAGCTTAATTCTTTCAGCACTAAGCTGCTCTTCCTCTTAGCTACTAAATGTTTTCAAAAGAACCTGAAATCAAACTAAAACAAAAATATGTACCATATGAGGTGCATCTTTTAACTCCACAGTCTGAGGAATGAGGAGGACACCTTTTACCTGCTTATAAATGCATCTGATGCTAGCAAAATGATACATTTTTGCATTTCAGTATCTGTAAGGCTGATGACATTGTTAAGATGCAAAATTGCTAATTCTGTATCTTAGTCTCATTGTTATGGGCCACCAGAAAATTATTATTTGTAAATCCTTCATTCCTCTGGCAGGTGTGAGGTCCTAATGGGCTTTAGTTATTCCGTGTATGTAGCCAAATCACTCTGAAACAGATTTTCTTCCCTGCCTCCTGATTTCTCTCAATCAGAATAGATAAGGAATAGTATCCAGGTCTCTACTGGAAAGTTGCAAACGTAACTTCTTGCAAATACCAACCTCCTTGTTTCTAGTTTGAAGGTTTGTTGTGAACACCCAGTTCTATTGTGATTAATTAATATATTCTCCAGTTTTTATCAGGCCAAAGAAAAATTTAAAAAAGAAATGAAGATTGAAGGATTTCTGTACAGTGACTTATCTGTACTAGCTTCTGATATCCCATATTTTCCACCAGAGGAAGAGGAAGAAAATCTGGAAGATGGAATTCACCTGGTTGTCTGTGTCCATGGATTGGATGGTAAGTCCAGGAGGAATTGCTGTTTGCAAGGCATTTTGGTGTAAAAAACAAAAGGGCAGGTGTTCAGCACGTATTAAGAATGGAGAGTCTAAGGAAAGTATTTATTTTAGCTAAGTATTTAGTCCTTATTATGTTATTCAGTCCATTGTAATAAAGGAGCTAGGAGAATGTTAAATATTTGCTCTAAGAAATGGGTGCTGCAACTTTTTTGTTGTTTGATTTAATTTTTTAATTGTTTCGTTGTTTAAACAGAATTCTACACCAAAGTACATCAGTCCTTCTGTGTACAGGAGGATTGCGTTACAGTAACTCTTCTTGTCTTTCCGCAGATGCTTGGTTGTTTTGCAGTATGTCACCAGGATGAAAACATTATTTAACCCCCTCCCCCCAACACTGTTATAGGGTAGATAGTGGCTGGCTTTACAAAGTGAGAGAATAAAAATCATTGTCCACTGCAGAAGAAGCATGGCCTGGAATTTTTTACATATACGGTTTCTAAGCAGAAAACAGCTATGTTAAACTTGAAACTTCTCTTGACAAATTATTGGTATCAATGGGAAAGGTGTAGGTGTTAACCTTGAAACTACAGAGAAGGAGGGGTAGAGACTCTGAAATCTCAGGCATTCTCAGAAAGGTGGAAAACGAACACTTGCTGGCTTGAGCAAGGACCGTTTGCCATTCAATATCTCAGTGGCAGTAACGTCCTTCTCACGAGGTGGAGGTACCTCCTTTTCCAGCAAAACATTTCAGAAGATTTTGGAATTTCCTAGTATGGAATGGAGCGTCTCCCAAAATATTAGGAGCCTGACAGTATTTCAGCACCGTCTCTAATTGTGAATACACAGAGGCAGGCTATTCTGCATCTGAAGGTACAGCCCTAAATCCCAGCACATGTGCTGAGGTCCCTGGCAGGGCTGCAGGGTCCCCTGGGAGGCTCCCCAGCTGTGAAGGTGGAAGGACAGACCTCAGCTTTTTGTCTTACCTCTGCTGTTCAGCAAATAAGGGACGGAGTTATTCTGGGCCTGATCTTTGCCCTTTCTGCCCCACCATTTATGCAGTCCCCAGCAGCAGGAGGTGAGGTCCAGCCCCACCTCATGCAGGTTGTGGGTATTCTTGCTCTCCCGCCGTTTCAATGGATGATCCCATGGTGTGGTGAGCTGTCTTAGCAGCACTTAGCAAGAGCTCCCTGATGTCAAGGTTTATAGGAAGATGAATGTATTAAATTGACTCTATATTAGTTATTTTTCTGCTGAATTATATCTATATATATGCTATATAAAGTACCATTTATTTCTAGGTAACAGTGCAGATCTGCGGCTGGTAAAGACTTTTATAGAACTGGGACTCCCTGGTGGAAAACTGGACTTCCTAATGTCTGAAAGAAATCAGGTAGTACAGAGCTAATTTCTGTCTTCCTTTAGATCTGCTACAAGCTGTTGACATTGCTGAAACAGGGCCTTCAGCAAAGCCTTTTCACCAGCTGAATGAAGCAAAAGCACTGGGGAATTCAGGAAATTTTCTGTAGTATTTAGTACAAAGGCCTGTTCCTGTTCCTGTTCCTGTCTAATTTGATAGGGCGTTCAAATCCACCAAAAAATACTCCTAGCATTAAAGTCAAAGGCAATGACATTAGCACTTATAGGACTAGACCTTAGAAGAAGAAAATGGATTTATCCTGTCAGTTTGCAACCTTAGCAGCCTGGTGCCTCTGCCTGTTGGATGCCAGGCAACACAGCACCGACAGAAAGCAGCAAGTTTAGTGATGCTAAATTCTCCAGAGGATGTGGAACATCCAGCAGGTGTTGCCAGCTTCCTTTGCTGCATCAGCCATTGTTCCTCTTGTTGCAATGTTTGCAAGATTTATTTCCTTGAATGATAAAGAAACGTCTTCCTGAAAAATTCATTGCTAGTCTAGGCAGAGAAACTGTGTTTTGCTCTGCAATGAACCCATATTTATGACACAGAGGCCTAACTTCATGCACAAGATAAGGATTTCCAGTGTCCAGTCAGAAACATTACTCTGATTTATGAGCAGCTGAGAAACTTGAGTGAAAACTTTTCCAACCTTCTTTGTTCAATAGCTTTTATATTTTGAAGTGGCCAGTTGGTGTTAGTCTGTGAACTTGCCACCTTCCAGTGCACATCTCTGTCAGCAGCAGACCTGCACAGTGAACGTAAGCAAGACGAAAATAATGAGGAGACCACTTCAGACTTGCATCAAAGCCTCTTCTCATGTTTTCAGAGAATGAAAGATCTTACAGCATCTCTATTTAACATTATCCAGAGCCCATAATGGGAACTTTTAGTGCTCTTATAGTCTGGGAAGGTGAGGAAGTTCGCGTGGCACTGGAAGTAGAACCCATGTGGTTTGATGACTATTTGGATGCTGTAAAGCATCCTGTCACCCTTTTTTCCCTGCTCTGAGAACCACACTGAAAATGACCCAAGAAATCAGTCGTTTAGCTGAAGTTTGCCTAATAGAGGAAAATGCAAATCACTTTTTTTAGGCATTCATTTGCAATACATTTGACAAGCTCAATCAGGCTGAGATGATACTAAAGGATGGAGATATAACCAGGTGAAATATGATGCTTGATGTGTTTTGTTTATGATTAATGTTCAGGCTGATATGCTTCCATTTTTAAACAACCTGAAAGATTTGAGATTATGAGCCTAGGAGGAAATCATTAATTGTCAATGCAGACAAAACAAACAGGAAGAAGGTTAGTGGACTGTTTGTAGTTTATATGAGAACATTTATTTTAAGGCCGTATTGTGAAGTGAATATGCTCATGTTTTCCTTTGCAAGAGCTGCAATTAGGAAGATGAGTTGTGTCACAAAAGCATTAATTACTGATATGTTTGCTCTGAATAGCTGTTCCAACATTTGATGATTGTTTTTGTGGCATCTCATTAGTTACAAATTTGATTTAGAGTCCTGTTGGATTGCCAAATGACACAGTTCTGAATAAGATCTGCCTGCAATAGTATAGACTGGACAATGTATTATTTATTTTATTGTATCACAACTGGCAGTACTGTTGCAAACAACAAATTGTTTGTCTCTCTCTAGCACTCATTCTTTTACTGATAACTCTTGAATAACAACACACAGCATTTCATTAAGATGGCCAAATAATTTTGTTATTACATCCTTAGCATCAGCATAACCCGCGTGTGAGTGTATAATGCTGTAAACTCTTTTGTCATAGTAATCTCTTAAATCCTAAATGCCAAAAGCTTTTCTTCCATGTGCAAAGTACGGTATCTAGAGTGGCTGAGCATTAGCAGTTCTCACCAGTGTCAAGTTGGGCTGCTTTAACATCATACTTATGACTCTGTAATCACTCAGCCTAATATTGTTAATCTTACTATCAATAAATTGTAGGTCCGGGTTTATCCTATTATGACACGTGCCAAAGTTAGAGGCACAGTCGGTAGAGAAAGAGAAGCAACAACAGGAGGTAATTTAATCCCCTTAAAATATGAATTGTCTTCTAGAGGGCCCTATTTCCATGCCCTACAAAGTGTAGGGTTACTCTAGTCCTAACTTGAATTCTCAGGTTGTGTTCTTGAAGCTAAAAGGCATAATATAGAGTCAAAGAGACTTTGTGACAGAAAATTTTTCCTTACCTTATCTACGAGCTCACTGAGGACAGTGAATTTCCACATGGGCTTTAACGATAGCTATGTGACCTACACTGACCCATGGCATTGTTGTTACTGTTGATACTATGTGAGAAAGAAAATACTTGTCTTGAGTAAGTTTGCAATACTATTTGGAAGCTATTTGCTAATAAACTGAAAGTGAAACTTCATTACTCTGTTTTCAAAAGAGAACTTCAGTTTTCAGAGGACCTGGAGACTGAGAAAAATCCCCCCTCCCTCCTTGAGCATGTATAAAGAAAATTTGGACTGGTTATTACATTTCTCCTTGCATTTTACTTTGAAAATAACATCAGTCTACAATAAGTGCAATATATTTTAATTTAACGACTCATTCCATTTTTCACCAGACTGATACTTTTGCTGATTTTGATACAATGACTGACCGATTATTGGATGAAATTATTCAGCATATCCAGTTGTACAACCTCTCCATATCCCGAATAAGGTAAGCGTTCTGATAGTTAATAGTCTGTAACTGAGTTACAAGAGCAACATTCAGTGAAATTAGCTTTTCAAAAATTGCCCTGTGTCAAAAGCCATTGAATCAGTGAGATGAATTTTTATGTTGTTATAGATGTAAGAGTTTTTACTATGCTGAAAAAAAAGTGAAATTATAACTAAAGGATGTTACTGAAAGCCCTGACAGAGTCCCCTCAAGAGCAATTTCTGCCACAAATTATGTTTAATTTAAATAAAATACAGATGGTTTTTGTGTTAATGTGTTAATGTAATTCTTTCTTTCCCAACAGTTTTATTGGACATTCCCTTGGTAATGTCATCATTCGATCTGTACTAACTCGCCCCAGGTTTCGCTATTACCTCAACAAGTTACATACCTTCCTGTCCCTTTCTGGGCCTCACCTGGGAACCCTATACAACAACAGTACTTTGGTTAGTACAGGTAAGAGTTGATGGGAAATCTATGACTGGCTGCAGTCCGTGGCAGAGTGCATGAGCAAGCAACACATGGAGGTAGCAATAAATCGTAACAACGTGACTTGTACACTGAAGTTGTGGAAAATATTTGCTGAAGACTTCAAATCCACACAGAAAAAATTGCGATGAGGGGGTCTTTCAGTATCTACTACAAGGTCCAGCACAGTGCTCCTTGGAAAACCCAAGGGTATGCAGCAGTGAGAGATGACCTTGCTTCCACTGTATTCTTCCACTTCTCTGTATATTGCCAGTAAAGAGAGGCTGAAGAAGACACAGTGCTATGGGAATGGAATGTCCCATAGTTCAGCCTTCCTGAGTGTTTATGCTATCATGACATGGATAATCATAGAATCATAGAATCATAGAATCATAGAATCATAGAACAGTTTGGGTTGGAAGGGACCTTTAAAGGTCATCTAGTCCAACCCCCCTGCCGTGGGCAGAGACATCTTCAACTAGATCAGGTTGCTCAGAGCCCCGTCCAACCTGACCTTGAATGTTCCAGGGATGGGGCATCTACCACCTCTCTGGGCAACCTGTGCCAGAGTTTCACCACCCTCATAATAAAGAATTTCTTCCTTATATCTAGTCTAAATCTACCCTCTTTTAGTTTAAAAACATTACCCTTATCCAGTGAGACCCTTAGACTTTTATCCCTGTTGATTAGCAATACAAGAGGAAACAAAGACTTATATTGAGTTACAGTGCTACCCTTACTGTAGGAACATGTCTTTAATCCCCTTGGTTGATAATCAGCAAACAAGATAAAAACATGCATTGATTTTCATTCCAGGTCTATGGCTCATGCAGAAGTTGAAAAAGTCAGGGTCGCTTCTGCAATTGACCTTCAGGGACAATGCGGATCTGCGCAAGTGTTTCCTCTATCAGCTCAGCCAAAAAACGGGTGAGTAGGGCTTTTTCTGGCTGTGTAAATATCAAGGGCTATTCCAAAGGATTGTGCTGGATTGCCATGTCCTCCAGGGAGCAAAGGAAATCTGCATTTTGTTAATGATCTGTCTTTAAACACTCTTGCTTTCGAGAAGGGCTGCTCTGTCTAAAATCTAATATCTATTTTATCTGTGCATGTTTTCTGTGCCAGGTATCAGTGAATATATTTGCCAAACTGTTAGCACCAAATAAGACTTCCATGCTGTAGTAAACATGCACCTAAGTTTATATTCTGCAAGCAAGAAATATCATTCTTGACAGGCCACCATCGCTTAATTTATACTACTAGATGAAAACCATTTTTCCTTTTTTATTATTTTTTTTTAAGTTGAACATCTCTTGTCTCTAGGAAATATGACTCTGTGAGATGAAGAACAAATTTTATTCATGTCTATTTTGACACCTTTGTGCTACAAAGAGAGATGTATGGCCTCACACTGGAAAAATGATGTCTAAATAGAGATCTTTTTACCACTTCCTTGGTCTGTCATGAATAAATAAAATAAATCAGGCTTTTCTTAAGAAAAGAAAGCAAACATGATCCTTCTGTTCAAGCAAATGTTTTCTTTTAAGAGTTATTTTTAATATTGTGTGTGAGAAAACTGATGTTAAGTATGTAGTCACAAGATTGCCACTTGATATGTAATTTTTTTCTCATACTTTGGTACATTGCTAATAGGAAATAAAGACTATGTTAAGATGAATGTGACTTCTTAATTCTTAGTCTGACAGACATAGAGCTGTTTCGTAATTTTATGAACATACTACGTGATGTAATCAATGACAGGAAGCTGCTGTATCTTGGCATTATTTGAATTTCCTTATTTGAATTTTCCCTTTGATTCCCTGGCTCTCATTTCTGTGGTGTACAGTTGATGTCTGCTTTACTACTGTCATGTTCAAATAAAATTGTGTCTACACAGAAAGCTCACATTGTAACTTCCCAAGCAAAGTATTCCCAAGCATGTGTTGTGAGTCAAAGCGATTCATTGTTCGTTAGCTTGGTAGACTGGAAATCTAATAGGCTATAAATGAAGGTGTTGTCCCCACAAAAGCAGAAATTTAAATGTGAAGAGGGTTGTCTGTAACGTCAGAATCATCCAGACAGATGCTTAGGCGAAAAATCTGACGAAGAAGGTAGGTCCAGATGTGAACATATGAGCTGGCATACTGAGTCAAAATAGAGGTGCCCCTACTGTAGCACCCTGCTCCCAAAAGTGGTTGAGAGAACCTACAGAGGGACAAATATCAGAAGCAGTGTTGTGCCTACTTTCCCAGATAACTCTTTAAGCCTCTAGCAATTTCTGACTTTCTTCTTAAAGTAGAAGTCCTGCGACTTTTCAGTCTCTTTAAATGTTCCTTGTGCTTGTCTTGAAAGCAAAAATAAACATTATTCCCTATTGAACCTCTTCACATAAGATTTTAGATATGGTCACAGTCATTGTTGCTTCTCCTACCTTTTACCTCAGACTGAAGTCACAAACTCAGTTGGTTTGATTGCACAAAAAGAAAACGATAGGCAGCTGCAGCCAGGCTTAGTAAAGGCAGCCAGCAGGACTCTTCTTTGTGGTGGTGACGGTCAACTTTTCTATGAAAATATAGAAATCAAAGGATTTGGTTCTGCGCCCCTTTCCCATAACAGGGAGGGAAATATGAAGGTCAAACCCACAGCTCTTCTGTGTTCAGGATACTCTCTGGACTAGTAGACTAGGTCACCTGTGTCCATTTTCCTACTTTTGTGCTGAATGCGGGTGATGGAGGGCTCAAGAGACCACAGACAGGGCAAAGAGCGGGAGCCTGTTTCCACAGTCCATCAGTGGCCCCATTGCCTCCAGGGAAGAGGGAGGATTCCTGGTTTCCAGTCCGTGTACCAGCAGTGTGCATTTATCAAGGGACTGCTGAATGCAGGGACTGGATCCCAAGGCTCCCTCAACACTGATGTAATAGTATGACATCATAGCAGTGAAGTTGGTTCCTCTTCTCCTCCCTCTCTCCATTTTGTTTGAAAACTGTACTAATTTGTTGTGTTATTTTTGAATGTGGTCCCCATTCCTGTGAACACTTATTTATCCAAAACCAGTCATTGACCACAGTGGGGCTGTACATGTTTCCAATGTTTAGAGGCATAAATATTTGCAAGATCAAGTTTTTAATGAAACACTTTTTTCCAACAGAGACAGTTCTTACTTTTTTTGTTGACATACAATTAACCTGTGTGAGTGTTGATAAGTAACAAATAGTTCGCAGAAGCAGCAGAAAATGGGTTTAAGATATTATGAATCTTTCTAAGCCTGTGTTGCATGTTTTAATTATTGTCGTCGATTTTGCACTGTAGATTTTCAAATGTGTTTAAACATGAAGTAGTCATGCTGACACTGTATGTATTTTCATTGCCGTGCATCATTGTGATAAATGTATTTAATGCATTTGCCACAGGTCTTCAGTACTTTAAAAATGTTGTGTTAGTGGCCTCACCCCAAGACAGATATGTACCCTTTCATTCAGCAAGAATAGAAATGTGTAAAAATGCACTTAAGGACAGACACACAGGTATGTTTAAGATCCTTTCTGTATTTACAAAGCTGTTGAAGAATTGTGTTTTTGTGTAACTGAGGTCATTGCATTAGAAGGGTTTTTCATGAGCATGATGAAAACTCAAATGTTTATTTGATAAGGAAGAAAGTGTTCTCTTCCCACAGGAAATTACTGAAATCAATAAAAGAAGCTTTTTAAGAAGCTCTTTGTCTGATGAAAACAAATTTCAATCAGGTCATAATCAAAGGTTTCTTACTGCTTCTTCCCCTTCCTTCTAATTTCTTTTTTCAAAAGTGATGATAATAGAACTAGCTCTTGACAATGTTTTTCTGTAGTCTGCTGATTTACTAGTATTGTCTCACCTTTGTTTCACATAATGAAATCTCTCTCAGCATATCCAAAGTCAGGGGTTTTTCCGTTCCTGTTTTCAATAGCGTTTGGGTAATTGTCAGGTAATTTAAAGGACAGATCTAAAACCATATTGGTTTGTAATAAAACCTGTAAAGGACATCAACAAGACTCATGCCATCAGAGGTCTAGCCCTCCTGTGAGCTCAGGCTGTGTATTGTCCCAAGCATTGCCTTTGTTATTAGCAGTCTCCCTCATTTATAAAATGTTTCATGGCTTCAGTTTGATACCACTTCCAGAATATAGTGTAATTTCATACCCATTTCACATATGTGATTACCTAGAAATGGAAGTACCTACTCTTTGGAAGTAGAAAGAGATACCCGGGCCCAATAATTAACATGGTTGCCTTCACACATCTTACCTAAATTACAGTTCTTTCTATCCTACCTCAGATATGAATTAAAAGGTAATTTTCTAACTCTCTCTTCCAGTGGTTGTTTCTCAGGGAGATGCTTGACCTAGCAGGAGCTGGATCTACATTCAGTGTGGATCATTTATGAGTACAAGTTTCCTGAGCCATTGTTTTTGTTGAACTCCTCAACTATCTGCATGATGTCCTTCCTGTATTAGATTCCCCAGAGAAACCCGAATGGACCTCTATGTCTTGCCAGACCCTTTTGCATTTGAATTCACAGGCAGCATGAGTCCAACTCTCTCCCCTTGAAGGAAAAAAAAGCATTTCCTTCCACCACAGAGGAAATGAGACTAAGTGCTGAGGAGTGTCCCACTCTTCATGCTAGCAGCTTCAGCAGACCTCTTCAGACAGCCAGTGCCTCCATTAGATTAACAGCATCCTGGCACTTGGCAAATCTTTAAAATGGACTGCGATCATCTCTTGCATTTTGGCCTTACTTCCATTTTCCTTCTCATTGCGACTGTAATTAAACGATACTGGAAGGAAAGAGGGAATCTGGCAGTTTTGGCGTGTAGGTGTGACATCTGAACTCTTTTGCAGGTCCTGTTTATGCAGAAATGATTAACAACCTGCTCCAGCCTTTGATTGGGGCGAAGGACTGCACTTTGATCAGACACAACGTGTTCCATGCTCTGCCAAACACCGCCAACACATTGATAGGCCGGGCTGCCCACATTGCCGTGCTGGACTCTGAACTTTTCCTGGAGAAGTTTTTCCTCGTGGCAGGACTCAACTACTTCAAATAGTGCCTGAAGTACGGGGTAACAGAGGCGAACCTTTTCATTGAGTGGAGGAGAATCCCTTAGCCAAAAGAGTGCAGTCTTAGAAATGAGATCAGGTGGGACTTTCAAACTCTCCATTTCCATTTCTGTTTCAGAGAATAAAGTGCTATGGCTTTAAGGCATTCAGGCTTCCAAATATTGGTGCTTTTGGAAGAAATAAATATTCCTCTTCAGTTTCTATGTTCTTTGTCCACATAAAGACATGAGCCACTTCTGAAGTACAGAATCAGAATAATAAGGCTAATTTTCTGAATGTGATTGGACCAATATGATTCCTATTTCTCCTGAATATTAATCCAGGTACTTGGCTGTCTTTGATTTAATACTTATTTACGTATTAAGAAAGCTATACATTTGTAGCACTTTTTGGGGTAGTAAACACAAGAGGAAACAAGCATATATGAACCCAGGTTAAAACCTCCTTTGTGATGAACTGAGAAGTCTGAAAAACATTTATGAAAGTTTCAAGGTTTCCATTTGTTGAAATAAAATATTTGGATGGTTCCATTACTGGTAATAATTTGTAACATACATACATTGAAATAATGGAAAGGAGTGAAATATTTGACATAGAATGAAGAAATCTTGATATTTGTCTTTTAAAAAAACCCCAAACTTTAAGTTGGGAAGAATTTTGTCCAAGTTAGAAGCTGCCAAACCAAGAGGAGTCTATTGGATTACTGGTAAAATATCAGTGGCATCTGTTAACATTTCTTCTGTTTACATGTATAGAGGATCATTATTGTCCTTGTTATAACCTTAGAGGTATAATTTTTACTTTTACATTTGTATCGAAGTACATTTACCCCAACAAATTTTTATTTTTTTAAATTTATTACTCTGATATGAAATTCAAAATCTAGCCAGTAATACCCCTAAAAAAATCAGGTGAAAATAGGCTGGAGACATAGAGTGGTAAGGATTGTGGAAAGCTTAAAAAATATAACGATGTCTTCTTAGGCTCCTCTACAATGCTCTATTAATGCTTTACTAATGCCCATTTGCAGTGCTATATACAGTCCTAATTATTATATGGTTACAGCTGGTTGAAACATTTAAAACTTTATTCATACAAAGATATCCAAGTTGTTTTTAAGGATTTGGAAAAGAAAAGAACTCATTTTTCACTTTTTTAGGGTTTTTTTCAATTTTTCATTAAAATTTTTATCAAAAAGTTATCACATTTAAAGTGACAAATTGCAATAATTTTCTACACATTTTCATAACATTTTGATAAATTTTCAATGTCACAGCAGTTTTTTCAAAAAAGAGAAATTGAATAATTCTTCACAATTATTTTTGTTTGGAAGGCAGGCAATTTTTTTAATGCAAACATAATTTGTTAAAAAACATAAGTGACCAGCCCTCTATATCTTGTGACAAAAAAAAATTAAAAAATGACAAAGGTGGTTTCAGGTGTCAAGACTCTCAGTAAGAGAGTCTTAATCAGTAAATTAAGATCAAGATAGTGGAGATTTTTGAAATAAGAGAGTTAAAAAATGAAAACAAAAAACCTCGCAACCACAGGGAAATATTTGTACATGCAAAAAGTAAAATTTTTTTTTTTTCCAAAAGAAGAAAAGTGGAAAACTTACACAGAATTAGTTCAAGAAAAGAGTTGTTAAAAGACTGGTAAAGGCTGCTAAAGAACAAGGCTGGCTTGATAATGTAGGCATGTTTTTAAAATAGGAAGGAGAAAGAAGGAATATACAAAAAGATGAGGTTAAGATCACCTAAAAATACAAAGGTATATTGCATCTGAAAATCATCTGCCCCTCAAAGGGGCAGAACTTATATAGAAACAGTTATATGGTGTGTTTCAATATTGACAAGTTTTTTAAACATTGACTATTACCTCAGAGCTTGAATTAAATAAGTAGATACTATTTTCTCTTTTTTTTCCCTTTTACAAATTTATGGTGTGTTTCAATATTGACAAGTTTTTAAACATTAACTATTACCTCAGAGCTTGAATTAAATAGGTAGATACTATTTTCTCTTTTTTTTCCCGTTTACAAATAGACAGTTTAAAGCTAAAAGCCAGATTTACCCAGTTAACAAATAAATTCTGTCAGGAATAAAGAACTTCTAGTTCCTGCTTCTTGTTTGGGAAGTCTTTATCACTCTTCGGCCTCAACATTTTAGTGCTAGCTACACTTATGTGTCACAGCTTACTTCTTCCTTGGTAAGTTGTTTACAGAATTTTAAATATAATGGGAGATGTAGATTGAGCTATTATACAGCGCAGTGGTTTTGGGCCACAACATGGACTCCTAAGGAGTATATGAAAAACAAGAAAGAAAAGCAATCTCCAACCATCAGCAAGCTTCAGTGTGCTGTATGAGGGTCTACTCCTCTTTTAGAAAATGTCCAGGAGTCTGCCAACAGAAAATTTCGAAAAACATTAAGAAAGAGGTTAGTTTACACATATATACGTGCCTAATGTATGTGTGTGTATATACATATACAGTCTGTACAAAGAAGTGTGCTTATTTCAAGGTCTCACACACCAGCTTTTTCAATCCTGAGTATACTCAGTCTGACAACATACCAGTGTAGCTGTTCTTACATTCAGATTGGTGGTTTCTTGCCTTGCCTTGTACATTAGACAGCATTCCCAGCCTTCTGTTTGCGTGGTTGTGAGAGAAGGGAAATATGAAAATGTCTCTTTTGTATTGCTGCAGAAGTTGGTGGGTCTTTCAGTATGTTCACTTTCACATTCTATACTGCTACCAGTGCTCTGACTAATGGATAAACATACCTAAAGGTTTCCATGTTGCTATACATAGAATACTCTTCCATGGCTCAGAGTCTGATTTCAGAACTGGAGTTGGATTGTACATGGAGTTGGATTAGGTCCATACAACTTGCTCCTTGTGGGGTATGGCAGAGAGCTTCTATGAAGCCTCCGAAAAATCTGGAAGATGTCATTCCTGTCAAATGATGAGACACAGATTTTATCTTCCTTATGCTGTAGAACGTTGTAGGAAATATTTGCAGTAACGGTCTAGCTGAGCATTAATTTTCAGGTTCTCAGAAAAGCCTCCCCCTCTTTTTCCTCTTTTATTCTTTTTAATGGGATGTTGCCTTGATAATGACTCTCAATATTGTTAAGTCCACTCTAATTGTGTAGATTCTATTGCAAAGAAATCTTCATTGTCATTATAATATAAATAACATCTAAGTGGTTGGACTTCATCAAACTATAGCAATCAACATGGACTTATTTTCAGATTTTTTTTATTTATATATAGAGAAATATATATTAAGAATTACCTTCACAATAAATAGCAGAATAACTGCACAGTTAGTGTCTTTGTTTCTGTCTCGACCTTTGAAATTTTAATGTATTGTTCTTTCACATAAAGCCTTTTAAATACATTTAAGTACATTAGCAATATTGCTACTAGGATTTCCCTTCAAACTGCACACGCTCCTCTTGGCTTGCTATGTCTATGGGGGCAGTGCTTAAATTCTTAAGTGAAGCTCTCACATTCACAGCGGATAAGACAGTGTTTCAAGAACTTGGACAGAGAAGGGACAACCATGAAATTTTTGTAGCTTGTCAATGCCCAGAGCCAGCTCTGGGCTTAATGTTAGCTCTATTTGAAGTGAAATTCCTTCACGTCTATGGGATTCTTTAGTTAAGAAAAAAACAAAGCCAGCAACACAGAGTTGTTTCTTTAGCATCTAGAAGTCTTACAACCAGCATGGAGAATCTCCTGGCTCCGATAGGTAAAGTGCATTTGGCTATTGAGGTTTTCCAGTGTTAAAGATGTAGTATGGGCTATAGCCCAGATGAGTAAGTTCTCTGAAGGAAAGGTGATAGCCCACGTGCAGGAAAAGAGCAGCAAAGACAGAGGATCTCAGGGCTTTGAAAGACAGGGGCAAAGACTGGGGGAAGGAAGGAAGACTAGGTACACTAGCAAGGGTGAATTTCATAGAATCATAGAACGGTTTGGGTTGGAATGGACCTTTGAAGATCATCTAGTCCAAACCCCCTGCCTTGATCAACCGTCACGCTGATCAAAGCCCCATCCTACCTGACCTTGAGCACTTCAATGATGGGGCATCCACAGCTTCTCTGGCCAACCTGTTCCAGTGTCTTACCACCCTCATCATAAAAAAAAAATTCCTTATAAAGAATTGAAAAACTCAACACAGAGTAGTATCATCTCACTTAACTTTAGGCAATTGTGGTGTAGATGCCTGTTTGTGGCCTAATAGGGGGAGTTTAACTCCTTTTATGATCAGTGGAAGGGAGGATGCACTTTTAGGCTGTGATTTATCAGACATATTTTACTTTTCTGGTCTAATTTTCTCTAGGCCTGTTCTTTTCCACCGACTATGCAGGATATCATATTTAGCTATCTACTTACTTGACACCTACACTTGATCAGATGAATCCCACACAGTGCTGGAACTCTTATAGGACTCTATTCCTACCCCAAAGGCCCAAAGAAGGGGTATTGTGCTTTGAAATAGCACCTGTCCCTTGAAGCCATTTCCTTTTCAGTGACAGTTATCTAGCTTGGAATGGCACAGTAATTCTGGAAGAAAGAAGAACAAAAACTTATCCAGTTTTATTGACAAGTTCATAGAAGGACATGGTGAAAAGACATAAAGATGCCTTGATTTGTTTTCAATCTCTATTTCATCTTTAAATAAAAATTATATATAAGCAATCTATAGTATTTAAAAGGATTAGCATTAACTATTATAAAAAAAAAATTGAAGCACTTGAAAACAGTGTGGTTATAACAATTCAGTGGATATCATGGCTTTATTAATTGCTGGATGAAATTTTTCCACTATTTTGGGGCTCCTAGAGCCCTTTGAGTTCCACTTTTGAAAGAATTTAATCTCTTCTGAAATGAAAGGTTTGTTTCTTGAATATGGATGGAAAGAAATTGCAGTAGTGACTAAGTGTGAGTAGATGAGGGACAGAAGAGCTAGTTCTTTCT